GGTCCACTGGTGGAACCTCTTCTAACCGGTTCGGTAGATTTGACGAACCGGTTCTACCGAATAGGCGCGAACTGGTAGGAACCCACCTCTGAAAGGGACATCAGTTCGATTCAATGTATTCCTTTTAGGCATCACTTGAACTGTTCACTATAAAAAAAACACCATAGTAAAAAGAGACAATAAAAATAAAAAGACAAAATGGTGGACTTAGCCACCAACCCTCACAAGTGCAATGTATCCAATAAGCCACCCTTTATCTCTTGGAACATCATGAGAACATGATTAGGAACTTGTGAAAAAGATACTAGCCAATAAGTAGTATTCTTTTTTGGCCAATAGCTGTGTACAAAGGATTGTTACTCCAATTGGGATCTGGTTGCAGGCCAGTCTTGTCCTACTTTCAGTAAGAAACATCATTAGTATATTTTCTTCTCTCAAGTAAATATTTTCTTTGGAAGCCAGTTATGAATTGCAGACATTTTTGGTATTGTTTAGTCTTTTTTATGTATACATACATATACTCAGACTTGTAGGAAAACCAGAAAAATTGTTGCATTTCATACTTAGAATGATTTTATTAGATTTTTAGAATATATAATATACATTGCAAACTAAAAGCTGTATGTTTACCCTTTTCAGATTTTCTGCACAGCAGAGGTGCAATTTATGTTCTGTTATGGATGTCTTGGATATGGATATTCGCATCAGGTTGCTATCTCTTTCTTAAAGTAGATTATTTGAATTTTAATCAGATATTGAAGGGAGAGATGATCCACACTCACCATGAAATGAATTGTTAAAGGAAGATGAATGGACCAGATGAATTATGTGTTATGCAGTTCAAGGCAGGGCTTTAACCATATGCTAAATCTGTCATATATAGAGTAGAGCAGTTTCCACAACCCAAAGCAGGAAATACAGTTGTTTTTCCTACTAACTTACTAAGGGTTTTGGCTAAAGATGAAACATGCAGACATAAACAATAGGAGAAATTGCAATTAACTGAAGTTTGTGCTGACCTGCAGTATGCGGTCATCAGTTACAGGTATATTGTATTTGATTTCCTCTGCAGAGAAAAAAGAAATAAAGTTTAAGTTTAAGTTTTATTTTATTTATATGCCGCCCTATTCCCTAAAAGGGACTCAGG